CATTATCACCAGCTATGTGGAAAACAATACGATTGGCTGCTCAGCTATATGAGCAACTGACCAAAAGGAAATGCAGGTACTCCAGCCCCCCCCCACATAACAGTAGAGCTTGTCTCTGGTTTCTGAGCTTTGTTCAATAGAAACTCCTCACTTCATCAGTCAGGAAGCACATCTGGGGAAAAAAAAGCCTTGATGTTATATTAAGCAAGTCTGGACCTACTCAGGACTGGTACAGAAATGGAAAATCTAGGCTATTATTGCAAGTGATGCTTGAGGCAGGAGAGACCTATTGGTCGTGCTCTTCCATCTTATCCCATGCTGTAAGATCTATCACTTGGATAATGTTAAATCTTTATGAGGTCCAGAACAATTAAAGTGTAGGAGTATAAAAACCTGGAGGCCTGGCTAAATTCCAGTCTATACTAAAATCCTGGCTTGTTAATATTTCCCATTCATTTAACTTCTCATTTCTTTACCTAAACAACTACCTTGTTGGCTGATCTCAACACTGTCTCTGGACTGTTTCAGAACCTGACAATCCAGTCCATCATTGCAAGTGGTGTGTGGAGTGGGAGTGGGATTTAAGGACCTGGACTGCCCCACTCCTGTCAATAATAATGATAACGTTACATTATTAGCCATATACAATTTCTTGCATTAGGAATTCATCTTTTCTCATACCCCAGCTTGCTCTCCACAAGATACAGACACAGAGAGAAGCTCAGGGTCACAGCACAAGTTCAGCCATTGTACAGCACCCCTGGAGCAAGTGGGGTTAAGGGCCTTGCTCAGGGGCCCAACAGAGTAGGATTCCTCTGCCAGCTGCAGGATTTGAACCAGCAACCTTCCTGTCATAGGCACAGATCCTTAACCACAAAGCCACTGCTCTGTACATCTGCAATTGCAGATCTCAGGCTATTTAATCTGTGCATCACAAGTGTGAAAACTGCATAACTGAGGCTCCTTAGTTAGTGCAAGGTGTGATTTGTCTTTATTAACACCTAACTGGTACATACCGGTATATTCAGCAATTTTCCTGAAGGTGGCACTGTTATCCAAGAAAAGCTACCCAAGTAGATACTATTATCAGTGGGAGGACTAACTGATCTTTAGCTCTAAGCATCACAGGACGGAGTCCATAGAAGGTAATGTCTGTATATTCAAGAGACTTCCAGTGACAGCTTTACTTTATTGGACAGACATGACATTTACAAGATCAGGGTCAAGGACATGAGAAAGTCAGAAGATCACCATACAGACCAAATATCCACATTATAGATGAAGTGTGGACATTGTCCCAATCCTGTTGCAGAGCTTCTGTTACCAGTGTCCAGTCTTCCCATATGAAGAGGACTCCAGGCTAGGGGAGAGGGTGGGAAAGCACACCTGTAGAGTTCTCAGAATAGTTCAAGACTAACATTCCTACTCACACCAGTCACGCTGTTAACTCCCACGTTTGGAGGGCTTGAGCTCCTCAACCTTACCGAGATCATGAGCCATCACTGAAAGACATCCAGACCATCCCAGACTTATCAAGTAGAGACAGGACTTGGCTGTTAGATTGATCCTTTTATCCAGACTACCTTCAACTTCTACAGCAGTGTCCTACCTTGGATTTCAGTGAAGGGATCTCTCCTCAAAGACAGGAACACAACCGGACTTCTCCTTGTATACAGCTTTCCTTAAAAGCCTACAAACCTAGTCCCTTGGTATGTGGTTTTTGTGCCAGATTTTACAACAAGGATCAATGCAAAGTGTACATACCTACAAAACCTCAATTTTGAAGATAGCATTTAGTCCTGTGCTTAAGACTGTACTACATCCATAGGCAGTACAGAAGAGCAGCCAGCTAACCCTCGTCTAAAGCACATCTTTAACATACAGAGATACTAAGCACACCTTGTCATGATTACTTGTTTTTGCATTCAGCTCCGCTGATCAGGAGTTGTGCAATAGCAATTTACTCCACAACTTCAACTCACCTGATCAGAACGTACCCATGAGCTGGCACACACCATTTCAGCACATGTAGCACCCCCTACTGGACTGCATCAATTACTGCATCTTCAAATGACAGCATGGCTTGGCAGATCCTACAGATGATCAGCTGTCTTCCATAACTGGTTCTGGTTGAATTTTCCAAGCTATTGACATCTTGCTTTTCTCACCACAGATTCTAGTATTCCAGAGCCATAGGAACACTGACAATACAACTCACAATAAATAATGCTCATGTTCCTCTGCAACTCAAAGCACAATCTAAATGTTTTCCTTCCAGGCTTCAATTTTATAAGCCTCTTCATTAATTACAGAGGCTTGTCTAATTCCATGGGAACCTCCCCCAAAAGCTCTAAAATTCTCATGTGGAATGCTCAGGTGTATCTAGTTCAATAATGTACACCTGCTTCCCAATCCCTGCCTGCTCAGGAGCTATTTTGGTTCAGAGAAACACCACAGCCTGGGCTTGAGCCAAAATGCAAGTTTCCTACAACAGCCTTCTAGGGGTTCTACAGCATTGCTTTCATAACTTTTCCTTGAACATTATTAGAAATATGTTCTTTCTAAACATTTCAGCATACCCCAATCTATATCAGAAATAGAGTAAGAGAAAGGGATAATGATTTGATTATCATTTATATATTCCTTTATACATATACAGATTTGTCATTAAATCTGAAATTACTTCAGGTTATTGATCTGAATTCACAATATTATTTGTCTTCCTACATCACAAAACTTGTTAATGCCTGCTATGATCAGAATTGGGGTTCTCCGTTGATGTCTCGCAAAGGAGGAAGTCCGTGTTGCAGACCCACTTTAAAAACATGCATTGCTAATAGAGTCCTTTGTATCTAAAAATAATTATGATTGATGAGAGTGTTGTAATTTCTATTAACAAAGTAGACTGAGACATTACTTTGAGAAATATAATTTGCCTTCCAACATTTTTGATGCCATCTATTGTCTGATTATTTATTTAACTGTTTTTTTCCCAGTTAAGCTCCCTCCTTCCAAATTCACTGAGAACTGGTCCTTCTGCTTGGTAAGCAGGCATTTAATTAAACTAGCACGGTGACTTTTTTAAATCGTCAGTATAGTCTGAAATAACATCCCATTTGTTTCTGGTTTCAGTGTTTCCTCATGTACACAAACGACCATATCACCTGTGAGTTTTCATTTTCATCCCTTGATTTCTTTAAATCCTTTTCTTCCACTAAAAATGTACAAGTAAAGCTTTTTGACATTCTTTGGAATTAAAAATCATATATACTGTAAATGCAGTAATGTTGTACCTGAATGAGTGCAGAAAAAAAATCAGTTATAATAATAATAATAATAATAATAATAATAATAATAATAATAATTGCTTACACTTATATAACGCTTTTCTGGACACCCCATGCAAAGGGCTTCACAGGTAATGGCGACTCCCCTCCACCACCACCAATGTGCAGCACCCACCTTTATAAACACTATACAATGTTACAAGAAAACATGCATAACAACCATTTAGCAAAATAACATTTCACATACATACCACTGTTATACATGACCACTGTTACAAAGGTACTTCTAAAGATAATTCTCCTCAGTTCTATAGTCCATCACTTTCTACCTCTCAATCTCTGCTCTTAGCTTTAGGCTTATATATTGTCAATTGTTATGAAAAATCCTATTCCTGAAATGTCATTTGCTGGAATAGTTTAAAGGACTATACAAGCTTTATTGGATTGTGTAGTGCTTATAAAGGAGTTTTGACAGTCTTTCTTTAACCTCATTCAAGTAAAGCATTACCATAAATGCAACTATTAGTTTAAGATTATAGCTGAAGAACTAACTCATTCCCTTTCCCAATAATGTTGTTTACAATAACAATCTCCCTTTCTCCTTATCAGTTTTATCTGATTCCTTTGCCATTTCCAACATTTGTTTATATTTCAAACTGACAAATACTTAAAGTTTTGAGTGAGCAATTGCTCAATTTCAATATGGTGTCAAATTTCCTAACTGCTCGAGTCCAGACCTGTATTTTCTGTGATTTCTTCAGTGCCAGATTTTAATTTGCCTTAAACACTCCAGTCCCCTAAATATCTTAAACCACTCTCAGTCCTCTTTTTGGCTCTTTTCACAGTCACTAGATGTTACACAGTACACTATTAGTTTTAAGATTTTCATTTTAAGCTCCAGTTTGGTTTCATGGGGCTTAAGCCTGTTTCACACTGACATCTCATACAGACAGGATGCTCTTACCCTCTCTGTCCTGCTGGGATATTGTCATATTCCTGAACAATGGGCACAGTCCTGATTTCCTTTCCCAGCTTTCCCAGTGAAAAAGATTTCACAGCAGGGCTCTCAGTCTCAGCACATGAAGCACCTAGTCCTTCTGGTTTTTGCTCTAACTGGAGTATTAACCTAATCAGGTCAGTTAACCTAATTAGTTTTAGAGATAAATGTGTAAATACAGAATTTCCTGACAGAAGATCCTGTCACTACTGTTTTCTAAGAGTAGGGGTGTTAATCTCACTATCCACACTAACTTGCTCCCTGGATTCATGTAAGTTAACCAATTGTAGCTGAAGTTCTCTCTTGTTTCAATGAGCAAAATAACTACGAATGGTTAAGGGCTGCTGTGCATCACTCAGGTGTGTCGGCCTTAAAGCGGTTGATTTAAGTGCGTCCTCTCATAATAAGGATTCGCTGTCTTCGTGATGAGAAGCGTTATATAGAAATGCAAAGAAAAATGTCAATTTAGCTTACAAAATAACATCACGTTAGAAAGTTGATTAAGAAAAAAAAAAGAAAGGTAATGATTATACTGTACATAGTAATGAATCTGCCCTTAAAACTGATGGGTAAAAGATTTGGAAGCGCCCCCTCAAGAAAAAGAACGGCAAGTGAGGTCACTTTGCTTAAGCGGATGCTGAGAGAACATGCGACTCCAGGAAGAACTGCAATTCCCATAATGCAACGCAATCCCACGCCGACACGTCGAAAGGGAAGCTGTCATTTTTTTTAAGAGAATTTGAAAGCGGGCGAAAGGCGCAGGCTGGAAGGGTTGTTATCGTCCGGGGGATCGCTTATTCTGGTGTAAAGGATAATATAAATCCACCTGTCCTATCTCTGTATCCTAAGATATTGACTTGTTAAACATGGCGTCCTTTGTGACAGAGGTGCTCGCCAGTTCGGGGAAGCTGGAGAAAGAAGATTTGTGCTGTAAAATAAACAAACTATCCCAGAAAGTGGAGGAGATAAAGGTAATTAAAGCAAGAGAACAGTGCGCCGGGAAGATCGGTTTCATATTTGGTAGGTGGAGTAGACGGAGTGTCCAAAGAAGACGTTAGGGGTAAGATCGGAACAGTCCCGAGAATCGTAAGGTATTTGAAGGACTTGGGATGTTTCTCTGGTCTCCTCTGGAAATGACGTGTCATCTGGGAGTTCTGAAGCTATTATCCCCCCCCATCCACTAACATTGTGTGTTGTCACTTGTTTACATTTTCGGTTAGCATGCACTGCTCCGCAAGATTAAGCTCTCGCGTTGTCCTATTCGGAGTACAGTATTGTTGAACTCGTTGTTCGTGTTGTTTTGTTATTAACATATGCTTTAGTAGTAGCTGTAGATTAACGTGCAGTTCTTAAGACTTTCTGTCTGCAAAACTTACTCATGGGAACTCTTAATGTGTAATGTAGTTGTATTATGGATGCTCTTCGATTATAATCAGGTCTTGCATGTACAATGTAGACATACCACTGTAGGGATTGTGAGAGAGAAGCTGCGAGGACCTTTTTCTCTGCCCAGTTTCGTTTGGATCTGCAAAGAATATCTAGAATCCCAGTATAAACCGGTATATGTCTCACATAAAAGTAATTTACCTACTCAAGGTACAGTATGAAAGTTGTCGTATGTGTTAAGTAATTACCTGCATAGCAAATGCAACACACTGGCTCTGTAGCACCTTACTGTAGTTTTCATGTCTGGGTTTTATTGAGTTCCTCCATGTGTCAATTAAACCCTGCCTAGCAAATATGAAACGTTTGCTCTGCAACACCTTAGTTTTTTCCTATCTCAGTTTTGCAATGTTCCTCCGTTGTTACCAAAACATGCCAGGGCCTGAGCTGAAAACCAGGCGAGGATGAATGTGCTTGTGCCCTTGTAAGAACTTGCACGAGCTGGTTCGTTGGATGTTTGTTTCACTCGGTCTAGGATGTTTATCTTTTTTTTCCCCCTGTCCTTTTCTCCCAAGAGCGAAGTATGCGACATGATCAGTAAGAAGTATGACGAGTTCCTGCCCAGCATGCAGAGTGCGGAAGATCTCATGAGGCAGGTGGATGCTGTCTCCAGGGACATGGACAACCTGAAGTCCTGCATCGAAAATGAGGTGCTTGTATAAGACGTATTTCAGTCAGAATCTGGACGTCAGGCTGGGGGTGCTCTGAGGAAGCGGATTCCAAATGGTTTCAACGTATTCTGAAAAGGGAAAAGCAGGAGAGCTTTTTTTTCCCTCTGGGGTGGTTTCGAGAACTTTCATGTAGGACACGCTTCACAGCCAGGTCTCTCTCTCTCTCCTTCCCTCATTTCGGGTCCCTCCTTGTTTTTCCAGACCCAGAAGAGTCTCAGAGACGCCATCGACGATTTCACGGATCAGAAGCTGCGGATGGAGAAGAACGCAGCGGGCATCCGCGTTCTCAGGCAGCTGCAGCAGGTAGAGAGATCTGCCATTGCTTAACGGTTCTAAAACAGTGGTTGCAAGGTGTGAAAATGTACCAGCTCTAGGAATTAGAATGGAAGATTATGAAGAGAGGTTATAGGGCTTCAGAGGCACTGTGGGATGCAGGGCAATGGTATAACCTGCTATCTGCAGTGCTAAGTGAACTGAGAGCATAAGACTTCTCTTTAGTGGGATCGTGTGCCATTGCAGGCTAACTCCCATGCTGGGCTGACTGCAGTAATTAGGGGAAATCTCGTTGATTTTTCTCAGATATCTCAGGTATTCCCCTCAATTTTGTAGAAACAAACAAAAATGAGTACTTTTAATATGCCTCCCAGATCATTACCAGTAGAAATGCTAAATTTTCTGTCTGATTTTGTTTTGTTTAGTTTGATACTGCAATAGAGGATTATCACCGAGCACTGCTGGAGAAGAAGTACACTGAAGCAGCCAAGCAGCTTGAAAAGGTAGAAATCCACACACTGGAAAAGAAATTAACCATTAAAAATATGGGACATTGGAAAAACAACCCATATCAACCCCGTGTTGTTCTGAATTTGATAGATAGCTGTCAAAGAAATACCACTAATCCACTAGCCAAATATTTTTTTAACATACGTGTTCTAATGAAAATGAATAGTTAATAATCAGTTACTTTTATTTCTACAGCAGCTCCTTGTAACAAATAAAACACTTACAGCAAAGAAATAGATCCAAACTGGAGTGTGTACTTGAATGCTACTCAAACAGTATTACATTTTTTGGGTGAAATCTTAATTTGACTGAAATAAGACTGTGCCGATCTCTGATGCTGCTGTACTAACCCCACTGTGTTCAGGCGCAGAGCAATGTGCAGGTTTTGAAAGCAAAGAAGGGCTGTGAGCTGCAGATCCTGAAGGCCTTGAGCACTGAGCTCACCATCCAAAAGCAGAACCTCATCTACCACCTTGGACAGGAGTGGCAGAAACTTGCAGTGTGGAAATTGCCTTCTGCCAAAGGTGACATTGAAGATATACTGGTGGGACATATGCTTGTGCACAACTTGGCTTTTCCTTTTCCTTTGTGGATGAACATACAGGGCTATTTTCTCCAGTTACACCACTTCCCATTCAGTTTTATGACACACTAGTGTAGTAACTGTAATATACAGGTTTGTCTTAATCCACTGTTTTTTTTTAAATACCTTTCAGAACAAAAGACACGATTATCCTATATGTAAAGCGGTGGTCTATATTTAATGTTAAGACTGAAGTTATATTCTTGCCAAACTGGGGGGAAAAAGGCAATTGTAATGCAATATTGGTCATCTAAACCTGCATTCTTGAGTGTGTTTTTGGAATATCAGTGCTGAAACTTCTCACTGTCACGGATGAAAAGCTCTTTAAAAAGAAAGCCAAGTTTTTTTGTACCTTTATGAATGTGTGAAAATTATGAATACTTTGGACCTGTACAGCAACAGGTAGCATGCATGTTATATATGACTAATTAAAATTATCACCTTTGCTTTGTCAGAACTAACCAGTGTGGAGGCCTTCATGGAGACAGAGCTGCGCTTGTGCTGTGTTGGACTGAAGGAAGACTGCAGCACAGAGTCCCAGCTGGCCAATGTACTGCAGGCTCTTGCCATACTGGGGGAGCTAAACAACAAAGTCAAATTCTTCAGTAAGGCAGACATCTTGTGCTACAATTATTGTCCTGTGCATTCATTTCCCTATAGAAACCAGGCATGCCTGATTACAGGCGTGATTACGACTCCAATTAAGTGTGAAGGTTTTTTGCTCCACTCTTAAGGTGACCACGGTTTCTATTATTGTCTTTTTAATTTAAAATGTTTATTTTTTTCCTTTTCTCTCTCACGGCTAACCCAGAAATAAAAAAGAAAAGCAACAACAGAATGCCATGCCGTTGTTTTTCAAATGAAAGACACTCTTACACGTTTTCTCCACCTCTCCACAGCATCTAAAGTTTATTTCTTCTGTCTTGTTTTCCCAGGCCAGGTGCTCCTGAAGTACGTGCTGAAGCCTCTCATCACGTATCCCGCTCTGAATGTTGGGATGACGGGGCAGCCCGGGCAGGGCACTGACCTGACCTTTTACTGCATGGAGACCACAGTGGAGCACCTGTCCCCCTCGGAGGCGTACATCAAAGTGCAGGCGGTCCTGAAGGAGTTGTACACACACCTGCTCAGTAGGTCCTCGCACGCTGGATGGTCTCAGTTCCACGTTCCCCCCCTCCGCCACGTCTCGGCCTGTCTCCACCGCTGTCGTTTCTCTTTTTCTCTCCGGTCGGCCCTTCTCTTTAAATTGAATCCCTGAGAAAGAGCGTTCAAATAGGAGGACAAAAAGGAGAACACAATCTGGGAGATGCAGATATAGAACATAATGGAATCATGAGGAATTCTAAAGCCACAACTTTACCGCTTCCTATGTTGCGGAACACTTTCCTTAAAATAATTTAAGGCGTTCCCTTTGCCACCCTGAATTTCCCCCTTTGTTCAAACTTGTTTCTTCTAACAATTTGTAAGGTCTTTCTAATGTGTTTTACAGATGTCACTGTCGGCGATAAGAAGCTTTCTGTTATGCTTGGCGACTTAATTTGGGAAGAGATGTCTGACTGCATTATTCGAGAATGTTTATTATACTCCATACCAGCAAACAGCAGCCAGCTAGAACAGTATGAAGAGGTATGGAGCTGCTGCTTTGTGTTAAATACTAAACATATGAATTTGAATTTATATTTATAGATATAAACACAGGTGAATCCAATCAGAATGTGCCTCAAAACTCTTTTCCGCTGACCTGCAGTTTGATTCGGCTTGACAAATGCAGCATTTCACTGGCCAAAGCAGATCGATTGGTAGCAATTGAAACGATTAATTTAATAATCATGGTTTTATGATAAATCAAATATGCATTGTATTTGTTCGTGGCATAATTGTCTTGCATATTTTAATTTAATTTTATAGACAAACAAACCAAACTCTATGTGTCATTGTTGCTTTTATTGATAATATTAACACTGTATTTAATAGTGATTTAAAAAATTTTATATAAATAATATAAAAATATTATTTATTGTATTTTATTATTAGTTTATTATAATTTTGTGATTATAATTGTATTATTATTAATTAATACAATGATTCTTACAATAATTATTGTATTGATTATTAACCCCAAGGGAATGGTTTGTTAAAAGTATAACTGGATTGCAAAGGAAGAGAAACCGAATTGACTGTCTTTTTCTATTTCAAAGTGCTTTGAAATAAAATATTAGAATAAAACAACGCTGAACAAAAACATGCACAAAATTAATGAGAAACAAGAAATAATATTGCATATTGTAAATCAGAAACATTTTGATTTATTGTTGTGGCATTGTTGTGGCAAAAATGTGATTTCCTTGATATAATACTTTTGAATACAATGTTTTTAAAGCCACTATGTACAATACATTGTTAACAATCAAAATATAAAATAAAATGGCTAATTCTGTTAGTGTTATGCTGTATTGTGACACAGCGTATCTTTGAGCTGTGAGTAATCAAATGAAATTGTCACTAATACAGTGTGCATACTGTATGGTATGATTAGTGCAGGAAAGCAGTAATGGTGTTATATTATTAAAATCAGATTTGACTGACATACAGCAGCTGTGATACTTTAAGGATTCACTACGCAGATGTATAGAAAAGGGCAAGTCCTGCATCAGTACCGCCTATCGACATTTTTATTAATCTGTCATGCTGTGGCATTTGTTGAGGTATGCCACTTGAAAATTTTAAATGGTTGTATCTGTAAACATTTTCTGTCAAAATAAGGTTGATTTCCATCCATCAGTAGAGGAAAACTGATTAAAAAGCATTAACTTTTTCTCACAGGAGTCATTCCTTTAGAGTCTGAAAGCTCATTTTTATGGAGTCTTTTGTTTTTAGGTCATCAAACAGACTGAAGAGTTCGAAAAGGCACTGAAGGAGATGCATTTTCTCAAGGGTGATTCCACAGACCTGTTAAAGTATGCTAGGAATGTCAATGTCCACTTTGCCAGTAAAAAATGCCAAGATGTGATCGTCACAGCCAGAAACCTGATGACATCAGAGATACACAACACCGTGAAGGTTAGCTCGTTCTTGGAGGGAAAGCTGGGGTATTTATTTGTAAAATGCTCTGAAGTTTGTAATGGCCAGCATAATTCTGAGAAATATACTGGACTATGGAGCCTAAATGATGTGTGCTTGTCTTGTTCCTTTTCAATTCAGTGTGGATTGAACCTCTCCTTGTTCCTTTGCAGTTCACACACTGACGCAGCTCACTCGATCTAACCCTTTTCCCCCAACTCATGTTCTATCCTCTGCTGTTTTCTGAGGCAGATCTTCCCAGAAACCAAAGTTTCCATCCCCAAGCTGCCCAACCTCAGCTCAGGGGACAAGACGGGACAGGACAAGGCGGTGAAGATGCTTCGAAATGAGACCATCAACCTGGAGAACGAGAATCGGTTGAGCCACCGCACCCTGTCTCTGCCGGTGTGCCGCATCAGCGAGTCGGTACAGAAGCTGATAGAACTGGCTTATCACACCCTCTCCGAAGCCTCCAACAGCACCAAGCAGTGGTGAGGCCTCAACAGAAATGCATGCACTGGTTTCTGCATGTGCTGTAAAGCAGTGCTCTGTTATGCCTGCTGTAATACCCTCCTAGTTTAGCATTCAGATTTCAACTTCGTCCAGTACTATTGAAATGGGATGATGTTATTTTGATGTGTATGGTTTCCTTGTGCTGAAATTCCTTTGGGTTTCTAAGAAATTAAACCCCCAGATCATGCAAGATCTTTACATTCAAATGGTACATTTTAAATGAAACAAAATAGGACAATTATGATGCCTTTAAGGAAAACAGTTTGTGCACTTTTTTTCTTTTACAGCGCAATCCAGCTTTTCTACACAGTCAGAAATATTTTCCAGTTGTTTTATGATGTCGTGCCAACCTACCACAAGTAAGTTTTTACAGTACATGCCACTTAGAATGCATGTCAAATACTGTCACAACATGAAATGTAATATGGACATTGCAGTATGAAGGCACACAGGAAAATGTGTTTTCCTCAAGTGAAGTAAACTTTTACATTAAAATCAATTCTAAACTAATAAACAAAACTGTGCATGTCATTCAAGAGTTGACAGTACTGTGTTCCGAATCCTTCCATTTCTTTCCAGATTTTATTGGAAATACATTTTGATGTCGCTAGGTATGATCTAGTTGTCCTTCTGCGAAAGTAGTTGTGTACTCCTGAAATTCATTTTGCATAAGCAATTTGGATGTTTTTTATTCTTTAGAGAAAATCTTCAAAAACTCCCTCAGCTGGCTGCCATTCACCACAATAACTGCATGTTCATCGCTCACCATCTCCTGACGCTGGGACACCAGTTCAGATACCACCTACCTCAGCCTCTTTGTGATGGGGCTGCCACCTTCATCGACCTGGTGCCAGGCTTCAGGAGACTGGGTATTCGAAACATGGGCAAAGATGAAGGGTCAACCTTCAGGGGAAAACATTTGCATACAAATACAATCACTTGAGGCGAAACAGCATATGGTGGAATGACAGAATTACACCACAATCACAGTAACAAATCCTTTGTTTCTTTTGCACACATCTAAATTTGGAAAATATATGTGACTTAACACAAACTTGTGATATTTGATTGATATTTTTTACTGGTTGGTTTCTTCACCGCATTATTTCTTAGCACTGCATTTAAGGTCAGTATACAGGTCAGACATCCAGTATCTTTAAATATCATAAGATGATACCTAGCGAGCAGCATAACACCACCTTGTGAATTCAAAGATTTTCGTGCGGAGAATAATATACAGTATACCCACATGCTTAATATTCTGTTGGTGGCAAAAGCCTCTGTCCTACCGCTTAATCCTGTTTCATTTATCTTTCCCAGGCACAGAGTGTTTCCTGGCTCAGATGCGCGCTCAGAAAGTGGAGATGTTAGAGAGGTTGTCTACTGCGAGGAATTTCTCCAACCTGGATGATGAGGAGAATTACTCGGCTGCCAGCAAAGCTGTTAGACAGGTGAGAGACAAAGGGGAAAACACTAAAGAGACCGAAAAGCTTTATGGTGGAACCAAAATAATGGCAGAAGCTGCAAACAGAATTGATACATTGGCTCTATGAGCTTTGAACAACAGTTACACCTTCAAACATTGTTAGTTTTGTTACAGTGGTTTGTTATAAAATTCATTCAAATCTTGTTTAGAAGAAAAAATAAATTTCTTCTTTACTGTAACTAACTTCCCAGTGTTAGTAAGTGAGGTGTTAGTTATTAGGACTGTTTGGTTTGAATATTTCCATATTAGTATTAATATAGTTAGTTTTTGTTATGTTGTTTGTAACATCTTGAAGAAGGCTTTGTAGCAATAGCCAGATAGCAATGTTGAATATTGATGTAGATTATCTGCGCAACTCCCTGGTTAAATAAATGCCTTTTTAAATGAAATGTTCAATAACAGTTGTAAATATTCTTTATGAGGCCAGAAATGAGTAAAAAATTGGGAAATATTTTTTCCTACCATGGAGCCGGACATGGAAGATGGATTCATCACTCAGCTGGAGGCAAAAGCAGCTGTAATTTCCTACCAGCCAAAACGTCTTTTTTTGCACTAAGATGCAGATGCACAAACGTGATTCATCCAACACTGAAAGTGTGCAATGTCATCCCCTTCCATTAAAATGCATATCATTTCATTTTAAAACATGCCTCTGTCTTCCGTCTATTCATCTTCCAGATCATAGATAAACGTTTATTAAATAAATTTATATAAAAAGGTTTTTCTGCCTAGTATCTCAGGTTTCAAATTATCACCATCTATAGAGCTTAAACATAAATTACAAGGTCTTGTAAATTTAAAATGGACTGGAAGTCTGTCTTTAAACATTGAAGGAAGTTTGTGTGGAGCATCAAGTAAATACAACTTGCAGCTCTTCCACCAGACCATTAAACTTATAGCCTTTGTTTACGGCTGCTGTCAAATGGAATAGAACCAGTGTTCCATTTCAATTTAGTTCCAAAATAATCTCCTCCTTTTTAATTTGTCAGTGACACTCTTTTAGTGCAAAGTGTTTATATCCAAGTACTGCAAAACTAAGTCAATAAAGTTAACCGTCCCTCAACCTGCACTCTTGCTTATTATTTTAAGCCTAATTTTATTTTTTGTTTTAACTGCAGGTTATCCATCAGCTGAAGAGACTGGGTAAAGTCTGGCAAGATGTCCTTCCTGTAAATATATATTGCAAAGCTATGGGAACATTGCTTAACACTGCCATCTCGGAAATCATCACAAAAATCACCATGCTGGAGGTATTGACAGTTTTACATGGATTTACATATTGATGCTGTATTTCTCTTTAACTGTGATTACAGTTACTGTTCCCATTTATAGACAGGTTTCGGTTATATTCAGAAAAGGTCTGAAACCCTACATTGCTTTGCTTTCATGAGGTACCTTATGTTCCACTAATGGACTTTCCTTCTTCCCTTTTCCCAGGACATCTCGACGGAAGATGGTGACCATTTGTACACACTCTGCAGGACAGTCATTGAAGAAGGACCCCTGGTGTTCACTCCACTGCCTGAAGAGAACAAGAACAAGAAATACCAGGAGGAGGTGCCGGTTTATGTTCACAAATGGATGACTTTCAAGGAGCTCATGATAGTCTTGCAGGCTAATCTGCAAGAGATTGTGGACAGGTACACCATTCATTTTTGGTTTTGAATACTGTGTTTTAATATATTTTTAACAAGAATCCAGACTCCTCAAAGGTGGCACAGGGGCAAGGCAGTTAGCTTTTGTGTACGGAGTGTGATTCCTTACGGTGCAAGTCTTCTGTGTTGGTTTTCTTTGTGTGTTTCAGTTTGCCTTGGTTCATTAGTGTGTTGTCTGTGCACCCTGCATTGGAGCAGTGTTTCAGCCAGGATACAACATCTTGAGAACACATCGTCTGGAAATACATGACAAAAAATACAACATTAATCACTCTTTGTCACACACAAGCAAAGCCTGAAGCAACCCCAGGCTTTGTTTGTGCAGTTAATTTGATGGACGGAAGTACAATGAAGTAAAACTCACCTTCAGCAAAACTTGTTTTTTATGGATTACAGCCTTGCTCCTATGCCACTAGTATTTTTTCTCAGGGGTCTCTTTGAATAGAAGAAATTATAGAACACTGTGGCAGTGCCAGAGGGAAGACGTGAAAGGATGAATTCTTAGCTGTACTAATGGCTCTGTCCTCACCTGCACCTTAGAAATCTGGACCTTTTCCAAACACGGTCCTAATACAGTGCCATTGACTTGCTACTATAAAATAATATCTGCCAAGTCCCTGTGCATCTTCAGTTCCAGGGACAAATTAAACCCTGACCTTTTGTAGGCTTACTTGCAGAGGATTCATGTGTAAAGCTCTTTTGGATGTAAGTTAATTTACCAAGTCAGTGAGCTGTTGATACAAGACCTTGAAAATATTTCCAAAATCCTTTTTTAAATGTACTGTAGGAAGTGCTATATGGTCTTTGAATATTCTGAAATATTCGGGGGGGGGGACCCCAGACACATTTTTCCAGCTGGGGAAAGGACTCCATGTACCTCAAAGCCTAAATCGTCATTTAAGAAGGACTCCATACATTGAGAACTGGGCCTCAGAAGCACAGCTGATGGTGACTGCAGATGTGACCCTGAAGGCTGATTGTGCTGTGTGTCTTCTCTCCAGATGGGCTGATGGGAAGGGGCCGTTGGCCATGGAATTCTCCCCCAACGAGGTGAAGAGCCTGATCCGAGCACTTTTCCAGAACACAGACAGGCGAGCAGCAGCTCTTGCCAGGATCAAGTAGACAGCCGACTGTCTGCAACACTGTGATGAATGTAAATAGTTATTGCCTCGAAAGAAAGGAAAACATCCTCCATTATATACTTTTGTTCTAGTGATGGGCTTATTTTTCTTATGCAAATGTACCAAACTCAATAAAGGCTTTGGATTTAGTCTTCTAAAAGTTATACTGTTTCTGACTCAGATCATGGTCTAGTATCGGATCTTATGCATTTTGTTCATCCATCCGTCTTCTACCTATCTTTCATCTGTTTTCTAACCACTTCCAATTCCATATCGCAGGGGAGCTGGAGCCTATTCCAGCAAGCAGTGGGTGTAAGGCAGGGTACACCCTGGATGGGACACCAGTTCATCACGGGGCAGAAACACAGCTAAGCACTCAGGGCCTATTTTCACAGCAGCCAATCAACCTACCGTTTTTTGTACTGTGGGAGGAAACCCACAAGAACACAGGGAGAACCACATTTTTTTCCATCTTATATTTAATTCCAAAGATTTTTGAGTCTTGTAATTTTGATTCCCCAGATTATCCATGTTCCCGATGAGAAATGATTATAGACATTGTGTATTTTTCACAATTTCATTTTGTCATATGTTGCATGCAGAGAATGTGTGTTTTGTTAACATAAAGCTTCTGTAATTTTGCTATGTTGATGTCAGAATGGTTTAATGCAATACAAGAGGAAGTACATAATGAATTTCTTGACCTGAACGAGAAGAAAGTAAGATAAAGTAAGGCATTGTCTGTATTTGACTCCAACATTATACATCAAAAACCTCATGCTGAAGCAAAGCTAGCTTTGCGCAATATCACTTTTTAAGTCAAGCAAAATTATTGAATGATTTCCTAGCTTATAAAAAAGGTACATTAGTGAATGAAAAATAGAAGCAGATAAATAGTTCTAGTCGTTTTTATTCAGTTTTAGTAGAGAAGTATATTTCCCCTCAAGTTTAAAACTTCTGATTCTTTTGACAAAATACTTAAGAAAGGTAATGAGCTGATAAAGACTCAACTTGTTCTCAGCTGACTGCCTTTGGTTGTGTCGTGATATGATAGTGTAGTTTTTTGTTAACCTTTTTTCCTAGCAATAATACAGTGTTCAGGTACAATAGTTGAATTCCAGACCTTCAGATGGAGCTCTGTTACTGCTGTAAGGCACTAACAATCTAAAGGGTTTATGTCTTGGTGAAGGTTTTAAGCATGTGTTCTCAGAGAATTGCTTTTTTCTGTGACTCATGCTGTGCAAAAATCGTCAGCATTACTGCCTTGACTTTAATAAAAGACAAGTTTCAAAGTCAAAGAGATTTAAATCTTGTGATATAATAATCTAGACATAGTCAAAGGAAACCACTGAAGGCTTTCAATAACCTTTGTATGCCAACAACACTCATTTGTAACAGCATTCGATGTTCTTCCAAGTCTACCTTAATTTAAAAATGACTTGATCTGCCATCTTGTGTCCCAGAATCTTTACACTTGCTTGTCTCAGTTTATTTTCCTTGCTCTACACTGTGCACAAAACAATTAGAATAGGGTCAATTAAATTAGAATATAAAGCAAATATTCACAGTAAAATATGTTAAAACAATAATTAAAGAAGAACCCATTGGGTCATTTCAGACTTAATGAGAAATATACTCTTTTCATATATAAAGGCTAGATTCTGATATTATTTTACTTTTTTTTTTTTGCTTTTTGGTCTGAATAGCACTTAGTGCCTACATAAGGCAATAAACAGAGCTGTGTTATATTTACTAGCTGTGTGAATGCTGTGAAGATGTTTAGCACTATTGTAATCTAGAGCAGCATTTTAAACGAATTATATGGCTGCTGATAGAAGGTAGGCAGCACAACTTAAGAGATTTAAATGTCACACAAGATTACTGGTGTTCAGCCCAAAATATCAAGTGTCCCACCTGGAAGCTGAGGTCAGTGTTTGGAATAATGAGATAACAGACTACATGCCCTATAGTATTAAATAACAAAGTGGGGTTTGAAGCTGGGAAATGACTAAAATGTCAAGATCAGATTGTATATACTATCAGAGAGAGCTGAGTAACTATCCTGTCTTCTGGACTTCAGCCTCACATACTTTAAAGTCTCCCGCTACACTTGTTTCAGGCCAATAACTTTGTTAATTAAAAGCCCCAAAAATCCATTAATTATCTAATAAGGCAAGTTGTTTTTAAGTCTACATCTTGATTCGGGCATGGTTGAATGCTGTTTCTCTAAATCATAATACCATCAATCAACTTAAAAAAGTAGTTTTTATTGTTTAAGGGGGAGTATGCAACAGTAAACTAGTAAAAACCAAAAGTATAATACAGGTCTGCCCCTGTACTATAACCTATATTGCTGGATTGTGTGCAATGCAATTGTGATTTGCCAGCTAGATGGCAGAATCCTGGATTACCCTGTCAGTGGGTGCCTTTCAGCATTCAAGTTTTCAGGCAATAGCCCTTCTACACTGGCATTCCTTACAAAAACAAAATCCCCAGCTGTGCAAGTGCTCTGTCTCTAATGAACCTTGATAGAAAAGAGGCAGTAGCAGGGCACCTTCCAGGTATCATGGTTCCAGTTCTCAGAATTTAGTTACTTCTTGGTTCTGACACAAGGTTAGCATTTTTCCAATTGTGCTGAATTGATTTTTAGACAAAGCAAATTCACTTCAGTTTTGTTCTGAAAGGTGCAGCATGACATGACCGCTTCTAATTTTTTACACTTTTTGTTTCTGAGGGAACTTTTTTTTCTTAATTGGCAAATTTGAAAATACACTTTTTTGTCGCTGTCCAATTAACGACTGACTCTCTATTACTGATTAATGGGATAGAAAGAAAACCACTAGTGAATATAGCAGTAGTTTAGTGATACTAATTAGCACTGGTCTTGACCTAAATTTTAGCAGTAGGTAAGGTCAAGCCTGATGCTAACTGAGGTATGTAATACCACCTAGATCGCTGTATTGTTACCAGCCTTTAGAAAACATTCCTTTATTGATTTTCCTTAAATACTTTAGGAACAGAAATGCAATATTAATTCTTCATCTTTGAAAAAGCTTCCCAATATTCACTTCAGTAAACCTGAGCTTGGCTCCCTGATTATCCTCCAGCTTTAACCAACATTAAAAACTCCCCAAAACACTTTGTCAGCTGTCAAAACAAAAAGAAATTACAAAAAAGCCTAAAAAGAAAGACGGAAAAATAACTTAATTGCCATTTATTTTCTTGAAGAATATTTTTTTTTCTTTGTGTCTGTCTTTCACCACAAGACCTAAAATGCTTGTTTTTTTTCATTTAATTCACTGATAAGCAAGATCATACAGTACCTTTTTCTATTGAAATTACCCTGACAGGATATGAAAGAAGCTTTTCAACAATTTGTAATTATGATCTTTGCTTAAAAAATCCACCAATTGTCAGCACAAAGCACAAATTGCTCTTTTTTCAGGTTTTCAAACAAAGTGGGCCATTTATTGGCAGAGGTAGAGTTGTTACTAGGCAACCCACGTCCTATCAGTTGTAAGAGGGGTATCTTTGGAGATGTGTGCCCCACAAAGAACTGGTTCAGCTCGCCTCGCTAGGCCCCTCTACCTCCCTGCCAAAACAACGGGCTCATTCTGCTGAGACCACTGCTGACCTCATTGTCTTTTTGTGAAATGAAAATCCAGAGTTGCATTCTGCTAAATGAAAAACTGTCCGGCTGCTCTGAACACCCCTAGCGTCTTTTGCCCTCATGGAGCTCTGTGAATGACCACTGATGAGGTAGCGGAGGTACTGCCCACCTGTATAGACCGAGAGAGGAAAATATGGTAAGACAACAGGGGAAATTGCTCTAATATTGATTATTCTGGGGTTATTCTATTCTACATAACAAAAATACAAAGAAGACTGTTGCAAAACTAGTGTAAAACCTGATTTTGTGTTTTCAGAATTTAAAATGTGTTTGTCTTTCTGTCTTAAAACAATTGTTCTTTTTTTAACATGCATACTCCCAGCACTGTTCTGAAACAGTAGCTGCCATATTACATAATAATTTATTGCATTTACATAATGCTGTTCATCCCAAAGGATCCCAAAGTGTCTTACAGTAGCACCCACTGTGGGTGGTGAGGGGATCCATTTCATCCACCAGTGATGTGTATCACTCTCCTGCGTAAGAAATAGCATTGTTTGTGTCACACTACACATTTAAATACATCAAACTGTGCAACTAATCAAAATGTAGATTTATTTTCTTTATTCCTTAAATAAAATACCAGCCCTCCTATGGGAACTGCCTGCCTAATACGACTAACTACTGAATATTTTATATTTACCAGTACTATTATACCTTTTTTAAATGTCTGATCGGTAAAGAAATCTACTTAATGGTTTAGCCAACTTCTAAAATAAACCCTTTTGGCAGCACGAATTATAGAATCCATGAATTTACATTTACTTTTTTCTAATTGTTAAATTCATTTTTATTATGTGTAGTACGAATAAGGTAATGCTTGCAAAAGGTCAAAAAAGAAAGTAAAGTAAATTGTCCCCAGAATTCAATGCATTCAATTACAGAATTCCAGGGAGTAAGGAATTACTGTATAACTTTTTGTTCTATATTTCATCTACAGTGCAAAAGCAGTATATTCTTTCAGTGAAAGATATCTATAAAAAATGTATATTGCACTGTTTCTGGTACTTATACGCCTGAAACCCAGCAATACACTGTTGCTTGTTTTGACAATGATTAATATTATTATACATCTATTTCCTTCAACACAGCTGTCACTGGAGTGTTTCATTACTATTTTTAGTTGCACTGTTTCAAATATTCCAATTATTTTCCTGCAGACTGTACTACTAACAGGACTGTAAATGTTTTCAGAGGTGTTTGAAGCTATGCTGCCTTTAAGGTGCAAGAATAAAGAGTGAAAGACAACAAATATATTTGAAAAATTGCATTACTCCTTCTTACCTCGAAGAACCATGAACCTTAAATTTACTAAACCCAATAAATGTCAAGGACTCATTAGGTAACATTGCTACCTATCGTAATTAGAAACAAAATTGCCGCAACCAATCCGATTTTGTAAAATTTCAAGTCAAAGTATGATCCCTAAAACTAGTTTTTACCAGACAATAACACAGACAGGGTGTTGAGTAGAAACATAAAGTAAAATAAGCATCTTTTTAAGTAATATTTTCTGAATTCTGAATCTGAAGGAAAGAAGGAATCTGACAGTGTTAAATCTTGTGGGCAGTAAACTGGATGATCAAGGTATTTCACTTCTGGGACATTTACACTAGGGCATTATGGGTCATGGTTATCATAGAAACAATTTAATTTAAAAAAATCATTGTTTGATAAGTAAAAACAACTATTTGTTGCTCAGAAACCATGGCTTCTTGGAATGACAAAATAATTTTTTTTTAGCCAAAAGCATGAACCATTAAAGTTTAATGATAGAATGTTGACTTACTGTGAAATAAACAAAATTCACAAAGGAACGGATGCCGTGAGTAAAAGGAAAAAAGATGGCTAAGGTACCATCTGTCACACCATCTTTTTTCTGTGGCATCAATTCTTACAGAATCTTGGGGCGGGCGCGGCGCCTGAAAATTATCGTCCATCAGCTGATCATGAGACTCCCCTGCCACAGGCACACACTGGAGAACCCAGAGATGCTGAGGGAACTCCAGCATGGCTGAGAGAAATTCAGCCAGCAAACCAAGGCAAGCCCCATACTTCTATTTTACTCAGCCATACAACATCTAGACTTAAACTGTATTATGTTTTTCCAAAAGCAGTCTGTTGCCTACTGTCTACGACCACATTCATGAAGCGTAAATCATTTTAAATACCTTAATCTTAAGGGAATTCTGGCTGTGGATTAATAGATAGTTTGAATAGAATATGTTCTCTGCATCTGCTTATACAATGCTTATATATCTGCTCTTTACAGGGACAGGCAGGATATTAGTATAATTTACTAACACTATACCACTGCATTGTTAGTTTGTTGTCTTTTTAATGTAATTTAATGCACAAAAAATCTGGCTAATCATCAAGCACAAAAATGAGAAGGAGTATTTGTCTCATCACTTGATTGTAAATCTTTTAGGTTCAGTCACCCTTGTGCTTAAAACAGCAGGGGTCACTATAGACCATCAGAATCAACTTTTTTTCTGACCATCACATACAGTACTGTACTATATCTAAACTAATGAATATGTTCAAGTTTCTTCCAAGGTAACGGCGCACAGACTGGCGAAGATACTGGCAGTTGTGTGTACAGTTGGACTGCTAGGCTGTTTAGCTGTAGGAGTATGTTTTTTAGGTGAGAAATAGCATTTGATCCCTGATTTAATTTGCCTCCTCTCTTGTTCCTTGTTGACAGAATAATTTTACCACGTGGCTACTTTCAGAATAGATTTTTTTTTCAAGAGCATACATTTAACTTTTTTCTGTTTGAACATTTTACATAACCTCGGGGAAAAACCAGATGAAAAGCAACAAATGCATGCACATTATACAAAAAGTGTCAAAAATGACAATAAATGAAATGTTAGTGGGAAGCTTCAAAATACAATGGTGCCACAAACCATAATAAAACAACTTTTCCTGTTATGAATTTTCATAGACTATAAGATGGTGGCATTTTTTATTTTCTGTATCTATGGGGAACTTTAAGGTGATTCTCATCTTGAATTTTTTCTCAAGGTAACTTCATAATGAACTGCTTGAAACTGCATGAGATAAACAAAGGTCATGGCATATCAGTCAAGATCTGAGCAAATCTTTCTATTTATACAATTAAAAATATTTCATATCCTTATGGATACTATTTAAAACAATTAAACATATATACAGTACTTAACAGATAATTGTATAGCTATTATTTAATACAAACTAGAAGTAGTCTCAGACATATGGAAAATTATAGCTGTTCCATTTTGAAGAAGGATGAGAAATGTATTTCTCCATTCAGCTGTACCTTATACACTCCAGTAAGGTGAAGAATGCACATTTAAACACATACTGTAGATATATTAAAATAAGCTCAATCCCTATGAAATTTATTTGAAAAAATATTTAATTTGCACTGATACTGTACCACCTCCAGTTGCTAACCTCTAAAGGTATCAAAGATAGCACACAGAGTACACACTTCATCTCTGCTGTGTACACCTTGTCTGGCAGTCCACTGAGTGAACATTTGGAGGGAGTACTACAGCAGGTGGCTGGAAGTTACTGTGCAGTAGTGTTTTGAGTTTATTTAATTTTGCTTTAAAAATCGTTGCAGAGCAGAAACAGTTTGTTTTGAAACAAATGTGAAAAGTATTTTCACAATAAAAAAAACAAACAAACAAAATTTCACCCATGAAAACCAGGATGGATTCATTTAGCTTTCTGTTCACAAAAAACAGTCTTACTGTATATTTCTGGCCTTTTCAGAACATAAACAGTTTGTTTTAAAACAAATGTGGAAAGTATTTTTACAATAAAGACAAAACAAAAATTAACTCATGAAAACCAGGATGGATTCATTTAGCTTTCTGTAGAATTTATGCTATCATTTATTTTTAGGAAAGTGTTATGTTCCTGTCATGTTAACACAGACATTTGGGTATTGTGTTAGTAATGTATAGTATAATATACTGTCTTTCATCCAGTGAAGCTGCTCTTAAGGCCTGCTACAAATCACAGCTCAGCGGGTCTAGGAGATGCAAAAGAGACTCCCTTCTGTAATGTGACGGAAGACAGTACCATCGCTGACCCCAGAAAAGGTCAGTGATCCGACAGATGGATTCTGGGAGGGTTTGTGCTAGACGTGGTTAGAGTCTTTAAACATTTGTGTGTTGATCTTCTAACGAGTCACATAGAAGTGAACAGCAAGTGAAAAGCAAATGACCAAGAACAAGCCAAGGTGGGAAAGAGCAAAACATCGAGAAGATATCTACCGCACAGTACAGTGCACATTTCACAAACTGAACACACAAGGTTAAATACAAACGGTTTTGAATAAATTCAATTCAGTTTTTTACAGAATAAGTCCTGAGAACTCTCTGCTAGAGGTCCAGTTGGAGAAATTGCAGACTTGGCTTCCTGTGTGCTATGAAAGATGGAACTCATCTTTGGGAAACCTGGTTTGTAGGCAGCTAGGCTACCTAAGGTAAGCCTTTTAAACTGCTTGACACTTTACCAAAGTCTGATAAATGCTGCAGAAATAGAAGGATAAGAGTGCCCTGTTGTAATGTTTGGATTTGTTGGACATTTCCTAATACACTATAATGCATCTGTTCACTTAGATAATTAAAGCTGCTGTATTTTACCACAGCACAACGTTTGCCAATATATTCACTTTTAAACTGATGGAAAATATTCTCATTACTTTATCATGCACCTAAACCCTAAATATACAATGAAAGAGTTTCCCCTATGTCTGTCTACACTCTGCCATTACTAGTAGTGTACCTCTTAGTCTCATACAAATTAAGATAATCATTTGCTACATACATTAGGATAATCATTAAACTTATTTACCAGTACAGACATATGAATATCACGTCTATGTGTATTTCACTCTCTGCGGAGTCTTGCCTTCATATTAAAACATATTTATAATACAACCTTCATCAAAACAACAAGTAGAACATTTTCTTTAATGACATTGTGTAACTCCTAACATTTTCCATAAATCCTATGTTATAATAAGGCTTGCCCATACAAACAAGTTTATTCATTACCACCTCACCTGTTTATAATGGGTTTATAATTAAAATAGGGAGTTCAATTGAGTAAAAAGAAAGCAAACTTTTCAAAGTAAAAGTATTTACTCAAATTATATGGCACGTAGACTAATAGCTTACCTGTAATTTTACAAAGACTGTTAATTAAAGCTGCTGTATTATCAGCGCGACAAAATGCCGTTAAATTCGCTTTTTAAACCGACGCTCACGCGCCGGGGTGAACAGCAGCCTCGCTCGGGCCACCTACTGGCTTTTCAGTAAAACTCCACGAATGTGTGTGTGCGAATCGACCGCAAACTAAACACAAAACTTAAATTAAAAAAAGGACTTTAGCAGTGTGCATGACACTATCACATTTATATATGTGTTTGCTCGCTTAGCGTACGCCCTTACCTAGGGAGACTTACAATTCATGTTCTACAATTTAATTTTATTAAATTTTCTAGTGGAATCAACTTCAGCAAGTCTTGTGTCCCGCAACCGCGCCATTCTTCCTGTTATTATAAATGCAACCAGTTCACAATCATATGGGGGAAAAAGACAATCTGCAGTATTCTGTAGCAAATGCAGTGACACATTTTTAAACAGACATGACATAGGTAAATTCATTAGGCAGATTAAAGTTTTTAATTAACGATGGACGGGGAATCTTTTGTACACAACAATTAGGGTATCGTTCTGCATGCCTGCGCCACACTTTGCTGAGATTTATCAGGATGTTTTACTCAAAACCTTTATTCAGTGGTTCAGCCAAGGAGATCTGAAAATTAGAAAGTATGTGTCAAGCATCAAAGCAGTGCAGATCTTTTTCTGGATTTCGTCTCTTTGCGCACAAGCAGCATTGCCATTAACTTACAGTCCTGATGTACGGTGTGATTTATCACAGGATTCAAAGTAGGATGATACTTCTGCTCTGTCTTTCAGGTTAACAAAGCACAAAGGAGTAAACCTGACAGACATAGGACCCAATTACTCGGATGGGTTTGTTCAAATTACCTCTGAACACAAAACCAATCTGGAAAGCTTGTGGCAGTTCAGGTAATTAATTTTAGCACTCATCTCCATTGACCTTTTATGATACATAATGGTTAGATCTGAATAAATTGGGTGAACAGCCGTAAAGGGGACAAACAAATACTTCCTTATGCATATGCTTATCGGGCTTTTTTATAAATAAATCATTTATTAGAACTCTGCTACAATACCAATGCACTGAGAAAACATAATAGTGCCTTTCTTTTACAATTAAGCATTAAAATTGTATAAGATGGTTTATACTATGTTTCAATCAGCTTTTTCAGTACACATTAGTCACCTTGCTTTTTAATTCACCGGCTCAATCATTGCCTGATTTAACAATAAATTCGTACACAACACAGTTAAAATTCATGAAGCCTATGTTTTCAAACATTGTATGAATGTTTGATGTGGTATGTTTCATAAATTGTAGAACATCAGACAAATGATTATTCTACTCAATGTGAACAAAAACATCCAATATAAACTCAACAGTATAGTGTTTCTTATGTCCACGTTCCAGTACTACTATCAGAAACATTGGTTGTCAAAGAGAATCAGTAGGGAGAATATTTAAAAACAAAGTTGAAAACATCTCAGAGTGAACAAAACTGAGTTAATAAGTCATATTGAAGCAAACTTATTTTGTTAGGAGGCTGATGGTCATCCATTAACAAGCTGTCATGAGGGTCCAAGAGTCACTGGAATTAAATTGCTTTTTTAGCTAGGATGTTGGATTTCTTTCAGCAAGCAAATCTCACGTTTGCATTTCCCCAGATTTAATAAAAGGTGAGGAAGAGAGCTCTAACCCTCTGTGCTCTCTCGAGGCAAGATCCATAGCTCGCTGAACAAGATCAATAAGGTTTAAAGACTCAGCTTCAGGCTGTGTGTGCTTCTCTTATAATCTAGGGGAGAGAGCCATGTGCTGTCTTGTCCCCTTAACACCATGGAAACCAGCATAAGCCCTGACCCAGTGAGCCACTGGGCTTGGGTAGGTACTTTACTTCTCTGTCCTTACGAGTAGTGAGAGTGAACTCTCTGCAATGCAGTGCTGTCTTTCTCTCCCGGACCAGAAAAGTTGGATTCAGTTTCACAAGACATTGTATTCTTTCTGCTGTCAAGAAGGCAAGGTGAAAATCCTTCTTCTGCTATATTTTCTTTCCAAGGTATAGATCCCTTATTGGCATCTTATATCATCATCAGAACAATTCCTTGCATTTAGATACTGCCCTTTAGACTAAGTACAGCTAGGAAACCATGCTGTGCCATTTGGTAGAAATGTGTAGACCAGGGCCGCCGTATTTCCCTCTTCAGGTGAAATAAGCTGTTTGCTCGGCATTAAGGTCCACTAAATGAATTAAAAATAGGAAGGGATCCACTTTATTCATCACTAAAGTATAGCACAGAGCAGGATGATATATGGCAGACATTATGGAAAACAGAACCACTGCACAGCAAACTGGTGGAAAAGAGAGAAATTACTTCACAATCCATTTTAACAGGGACCTTTAGTCCAGCCAGACTTGGAATTATGGGTTAGGAAGTCAACATCCAAGATGGATAGTTTTTACAGTTTCCCTCAAATTTAAACATGGCAAAGGCAAGTCAGACTGATGTCTTTAATGAATACGCTTTCAGTTAGTCTTTCATTCAAGCGTGTTCTTTCAAATTTGCAGCCACAGCCTGGTTATTTTTTTACTGTTTAATGCAAATGAAAAATGAAAACGATTTCAAACATTTCAAAACTGCTCCAACAGACCCAAGGGTACAGTGTCAAGACACTGGACGGTGGAACACGGTACTGGCCTCTAAGCAGACCTTAATCAATCACTTCTCAAAGCTGTGCGTAGCAGAAGAAGCAAGCTAGAACTTAGATATTTCCACGACGAGACATTTATACAGTATATACTGTATAAAGAAATATAAGGAAACCACATTTATTGATATGCTCTGTACTGCTACTATTTAATTATTACCTGCTTGAATTATGAAAGAGAATCATACAAACTGCACTGCACTGTTCTATCTCTCTATTTGCTTTCAGAGAGAGTTGTATCACAGGAAAGGTGATAGCATTGAAGTGTTTTGGTAAGTTTTATTTAATTTTCTAAAACGGGTTTTGAAGCACGACACTGAAAACAGTGTTTATCTCCCATTTCGGGAATGACTGTTTTACTCTTCATCTTTGCTTCTGATGAACATAGAGAATGGCTTCACATGGCTTCACTGTCGTTCCTTGAGGTTCAAGCCGAACAAACAATACCACATTCAATTAAAAACCAAAAAAAACAGACTATAAAAGAAACTAATAGGAATGACTGATGAATTATTAAGAGGAAATATGTTTAATTCATTTGCCCTTAACAAGTTATTTGCATTTTTGCAAAAAAGTCAGTTTTTGGCACATTTTGTAACTTTGTCACATCGTTATAAATAACTTGGTCACATTGTTATTTGACATTTTTTTCCACACATAAAGAAGATACCAATGTAGCCCATTCATGAAGTAAACAAATCTCGTGCCTCTACAGTTTTCACAACTTTTAGTAGTAAAGGCTTTTTTTAATAACATTTAAAGCAATTAAACCTGAGAGCATGACTCAGGTTATGGCCTTGGAGATGTACTGTATATAACTAGCAATGGCTCTGAAAGGAAATATATCTGCCTAAATATACGTCTAAATGTCTGTCTGGTGTGTGCTCCGTGTTTCCAATGAAGGGAGCACTGGTGAATGAGTGCTAACACAAGTACTGTACCAGGGGAAGCTCAGCTTGCTCTGAGCAGAGTCATAAGACACAGTCACTGAGGGAACAATGATGTACGTTTCCTTTAATAACATTTCTTTACCTTGTTGTCTACTACAAGGACATGTTTTAACCTCATTAGGAACCATATTTACATAGCTACAGTATACATAGAGTGAAATTGACTTTTATTTTCTTGTGAAACAGCCAGATGAAATTAATATGCATATGCCCATAATTCACTGTGACATGTTTGTTTAACAACATGAACCATATACTGTGTAAGCCCCATTTGACTGGTGAAAGTATAGCTATGACATGCTGATGGGCCCTGTCACCTGTCTGTGGCTGCTTTGAATTTAAAAATGTGAAGCAATGATCTGCGCTGGAATTCAAAAACACTTAAACTCAAAATGAAGGCAGGACAATCCAATGAAGATCTATAAGGCAGACATGCAAGGGATATTGTCAAACGACAACCCCAGGGAAAAGCAAAACATCAAAGCACCAGATAATTAAGTACTTATGCCTAAATGATTAGGAACAAAATGCATGACAAAAACCTACTCAATTATTATGCAATTATGATGTAAATGAAGAACATAATTAAAGGAGAGTGACGGTGAAGAACACAACATTAGTACATACACAGTATTCCAAAGAAACAGGAAAGATGGATGAAAGGGACATGTAGCAGTTCATTAAAATGAGCATTTAGGCGCAGACAGTTAAAATAGGTGAATTAAGGGTCTCAGAATACTTATTTAATTAATAGGAAAAAAAACATTCAAAGGAACAATGTTAGTAGCATGCTACAGTCCACCAAATACAATTACTGTACTCAGAGAATTTCTTTACTGATCTCAGATTTTCCAATAATCTAGATGTGATAAGGGAAAAGGAGAGGAAAAAACTATGCAAGAACTGGGATCATAAAATAGTATGCTTCATAACATGTTTTGAAACTGAACAGATAAAGCGCAAAACAACGGTATGCAATTTCAGGAAACCAGACTATAAAGACAGGGGATAGACTACACTGGTGTAAAAACTAAATCTATTTAGTCCTGAGCAGAGGTGACTAGAGGGGAACAGATTCATAATCCCCAGAGGCATTGATGCTGTGTAGCTAGTGCTCTGGAATTGACACCTTGGCCTGTTTCAAGAAACAGCTATATTAGCCAGACTGTGTTGCCTTGCTCCAGTCTGGCTATATATGAGCCAGACTGGAGCAAGGCAACACAGGCCCTTCCCTTTGGTCACCTTTCTTATGACCTAATAATAATAATAATAATAATTGCTTACACTTATATAGTGCTTTTCTGGACACTCCACTCAAAGCGCTTTACAGGTAATGGCGTCTCCCCTCCACCACCACCAATGTGCAGCATCCACCTGGATGATGCGACGGCAGCCATAGTGCGCCAGAACGCTCACCACACATCAGCTATTAGTGGGGAGGAGAGCAGAGAGTAATGAAGCCAATTTATAGATGACCTAATGACCTACTGTAATGTTCTAGAAGCCTGTTCTAGTCTCAGGTACTGTGAGACAGCCAGGAGTTATTAATATTCACAGTCTCCTAATTCATAGCGTGGCAGTGGCTAGCATTGCTGCCTCACAGTGCTGGGGCCCTGGCTTCAGTTCCTGGGGTGCTGGAGTTTGTATGCCCTTCCCGTATTTGTGTGCGTTTCTTCCAACAGTCCTAAGACATACTGGTAGGTTAATTTGCTTCTGGGATCACTGGCCCCGGTGCGTGTTTGTACATGTCTGTGTGTGCACTGCGATGGACTGGCACCCTGTCCAGGGTGTTTACTGCCTTGTGCCCGTTGCTTGCCGGGTGTAGCAGAGTGGACCAGTTGGGACTGTGGAAAGGGCGTAGAACTGCCACACACCATTGCAACTGTCCCAGGGACACATTCCCAGCATTCACACGAGGAAATTGGGAAACTGGCTACACCTGGGGACGCCAGGTCCCTGTAAAGGACATAGTGAAGAGTTGTCTCTCAAGACCCCTACAGTAACTCTGGACGTCTCAGGGGGGAGATCCTAGGGCAGCACCTATTTTAAAAAGGTTATACAATGTTTGGTTGGCGATACAATATTCGGGTGGTTTGAAGTCCGGGAAAGAGACTCTCCCTGTCAGGCAGCAGCCTCTGTTGTTCCCAAGTTGGCACACTGATAAGAAAGAAGACAGGCAAAGAGCAAAGCCAGCGATATAGAATCAACCGGGTGAGGAGCTTCCACTGCTAGTGGGCTGGAATGGAGAGTTGAATGGGCAGGAGGAGAAAGACCACAGGGGAGGATAGGGAGTGTAGCTTCCGGGTGGTTCGCTGGGCTGTGTAAGCTGCCATCTTACCAGTGGGTATAGTAGGGTTTCTGCGCAGATCCCTGTGCGACACTTCGTTCAAGAGGCAACTGTCACAGCGGGATTCACCGGCTGCGGCTGGCTTGCAGCCCCTGAACTCGACGAAGCAGTTAGAAGATGGACAGCTGGAGACTTCCCAGCAAGGTGCTTTGCCCTTAAAAAAAAAAATCCCCTACGGCAAGCCTGAAAAGGGGCTCCCTTTGAAGATGTCTATAATTTTGCACTCTAGATGGACCTCCCTCTCAAAGCAGGTAAAAGGGTGGCCGGCCACTCTTCCAAATGTGTTGTCTGAGCCTCAGATGCTCAGTCACTTTACAAAAACACACACGCACACTCCCCTCCCCCAGCCCTGACGTTTGGTTTTGTCTGGTGCTGTTTTTTCCCCGAGAGTGTGGGACTCGAGCAAAGCTGCCCCGAATAATTGGAGGAACGGAAGCCACTCTGGGGAGGTGGCCCTGGCAAGTGAGTCTCCACTACAGCTCCAGACATACCTGCGGAGGCTCAATTATAACGCGCCGCTGGATAGCCACCGCTGCACACTGCGTACACAAGTAAGACTGACTGCCACTCTGGAAGGGCTGTCTGGGTTGGTTTGGGGATTTCTTGTTTCTTAATGGTTTATTAACTTGAAGTACAGATAAAAATAAATTCATCTCCGAAGTGTTAAATAACCACGTATATTGCATGAGGAACGAGAGGCGAGCTGTGTCGACGTGGGTTGACTGCAGAGGAATAAGGTGGCGTTAGATGAAGAAGGAAGCAGAAAAAAAACGAAAGGTTGAACAGTTTTCTTCACACCCGAAGAAGGCTCAACGGCCGAAACACTGTTTCTTCTGTCTATTTTTCAGCATGGAATTAACCTTTACTTGTCCCTTTACATAAATTTCAGGGATAAGACCTGTCTAGCGTTTTATTCACTTCAGTGAGTATTAGCTGTTGTCGCTAGGTATACTGTATTTCTTCAAAAAAATCTTCTCTGTTCACTGCAAAGAACTGTAAAGAAAGTAAAACACTGACAATATCAAGTTGCTGAAAAGTTTCAGCTGTCTTGCAATGTCTTATTGCCCTATTTATCTGTGTTGCCTTCCCTGCATTTTATCTACAGCTTTGCTTTTGCACTCATGAAGTGAAAGTTTTCAGGGCACTGCACTTGTGCACATACTGTAAAATGTGTACATTAAAGGTATCTGGATATCAGACTTACAGTATGCTAAAGAAAAAATAATTCTTTACAAGTTTAAATGTTTATTATACTTTATTTTAAAAAGTGTTGCATGTTTTTTTGTTCCTTAAAAGGAAATTCCAAAAATAATTTGTGGACAGCTTTAATATTTTATGTGATTACATTAGGCATTTCTTCTTTTTCATAAAAAAGGAAGAAAATATTTGAGGAAAGAGGAGGAGATAATGTTTCTACTTGTCATGAGTAAATGGACAGAAAGGAAATTAAGCGCCCTGTTACTCTTTAGTTATAGGCTACCTCAGGTCTCCAGCTGGGTGGTTTTTGCTGGTGTTGTCACTCGAAGCTCCACTAAACTGGCCCAACATACAGGATATGCTGTGGAGAAGATACTTTACCATAAAAACTATAACCACAGAAGTCACGACAATGACATAGCCTTGATAAAGCTGAAGACACCATTAAACTTCACAGGTGAGGGTGGGTAAGAGCACCTTTTTCTTCATAAAAAGCTTCATAAGATTAATTGCCCTCAGAGTTGGAGATTTTTCTCATCGTAATGCTGTTCTGCAAAACTTAGCTTAACATGAAAGAAGTATTTGAACTCACACTGCAGAAATTCCCAAAGTTTCAGTGGAGAGATTATAAAGAGAATTTCCAAGTTACATTTAACCCCCCGTAGTACACTCCTTGCTGGGTACAAATCAGAGATCATGACTTTTTAAAAGTCTTTCCAAGCAAGTGGGAATGATGGAATCAACATGCTGTGGAATCTGGGGATCATGTGGCTTTATCACCGAGGCCTTGCTGTGATACAAGAAGCAGAGTCAAGAATTCAGTTAAAAGAATCATCTACAGATTAAAATAAGCTTTACCATAGTTTTTTGGATTTCTCATATAGCTTCTTATATGCTTAGATGGTTTCGAAATTTGTTTCTCGTAAATGAGTGGCTGTATATGAATGGCCGCTAAGGACACTCCTGGGACAAACAAATTGCAACTGGTTTGAGCTTCAGCTCATCCAATAAACCATTTCAGAATTGGGAAAAAAGAATACAAAAAGAAAAAGAAAAATTTTCTTAATTCAGATGAAACTATTTCAGTTACTGTTAAACTAGTTGTTTGCTTTATGGAAATCACAGCTGAAAATATCTTTTCAGGGGCTTGTCTTAAACTGCTTTTGACTCATTGAGGAATGGTAGTGCTTTAAGGAAAGTACTGCATGTCTTAAACTTAAAAACGTCTTTTACTTCTAGTATTTTTGTTTTCTGAGTTTTGACCTTCATTCATAATTGACAGAAAATAAAATCAATTAATGACGATATCTGTTCCGCCACTATCTCTTGTGAAGACACAACCCTTTTTTCATATGTACGTTATATTACACAGCTTAAAGTGTTATTTTATGTGAATAAAAGAAGTGTCTGCGATTTTTATTTCTTGTAATGTACTTCTGAGTTATCTCATTTAACAACATAGAGGATGAATCTCTTTTTGGGATATGTAATGGTCTAGATACATTTACCAGGGATGCCCACTTAGTGTTCTCTCATTGATTATTTCACTACTGAATGTTGCTCTCCTCATTATGACTTATTTATCATTTTTGGTCCAGTGGCTCCATAGTACCTGATAACTGCTATGGAATAAACAGGAATACTCAAGGTTAAAAATATCAGTTTCTAGGCAATCAGTTGTGTTCCTAAGAAAGCTAGTGTTATGTATATCTTCCTCTCTGTTTCCTCAAATGGATCTGAAATATAGAGACTGCTTTGCAAACATATTACATCTATTTATAATTCATGAACAAGAGTACAAGATATACAGTATACTTTGTTGTGAGAAACTAATATACTATCTCAACTTCTGAACTATTGTGTTTAAAAGTAACGTGCATGCACTTAAGAAATGAAATTTGTATTGTTAACAATGCACATAATATATATATATATATTCTGTTACAGATGCAGATCTCAGTTGCAACTGCTAGTATTGAAGCAATATTTGAGAATAAAAGAACATTACTTCTCATAACTCTTCATATTAATTTTTAACAGATACTATTAGGCCAGTTTGTCTCCCACAGTACGATCATGATTTCCCAGGTGGGACACAGTGCTGGATTTCTGGCTGGGGCTACACAAGACCTGATGAAGGTATTGATGAAGAATGTGTATCACTGCAGCACTGAAAGACTGAGCCTGCTATGAGTGTGATCATTATGCCTCTAGGCCACAACATGGGACAAACAAACTTTAGGTTATATGCTATATTTAACATTCTGGCTCACTTCATGTTTGTACTGAAACAAATAAATACACACACTGCATACATTTAGACACTATTTAATGACAGTGGTAAACCTTTTAATACTCTGTCATTTACTAAGATTCAAATAAAGCACTTTGCATATCACAGTAGTTCACATTGGCACCAATTAATTCAGTCTTTAGGACATATTCTAATATGAGAAATACAGTAAGATTAATATTTGTTAAGAAACTTCATTAGTTGAGGTAGAATAGTTCAGAAAAGAGAATGTGTTTAAATGGCAGTGAATTAGATTAAGTACCATGTCCATATCTCAAAATATCAGACAATTTCTTTACATATTCCAGTACTTTCACTCGCCTCAGCATGTTTTTGCCTCGATTGTCATTTGTAACACCTCACTACAAGCTTATATGGCATGACCACATATTGATACAGGGTTACATTGAGTAAAGAGATAAGCAGAGGTTTAATATAATCCACTTAGAGGATTACAGCTGGAGAATTAGGGTAACAACGATGTGTGTTCTTGTTAAAACATCCAACTGGCAAATGAAGTTGTTGTTAATGTTTGTGTATTGAGTTTGTTTTTTTTGCCTTTGGCTTCGTTGCAGTTCACATTCCTGAAACTTTAAAAGAGGCGCCAGTTCCCTTGATCAGCACTAAGAAATGCAACAGTTCCTGTATGTACGATGGGGAAATTACATCAAGGATGCTCTGTGCTGGATACACAGAGGGGCAAGTAGATGCATGTCAGGTCAGTGTGTTCAGATATTAAACTTCATTTATTCTTCCAGATGTTCTCTGCATTTTTCCTTTTCTGTGGATGACATTTTACCGCCATTTATTAACATTTTACTGCTCATGATGGACAGCTGACTTGTGTTATTTTAAAGAAAAGGTTACAAATAAAGGGATGCCATTTGGCTCGGTGCTATTTGCTGGGTAGCCAACTGATCTAAGAATCTCATCCATTTACCAATTATTCCTCCACTTTGAACACATGAAAGCAAGCAGAAATCCCTGACAAAGCTGGTGGTTTACTTTTCAGTACAAGGTGTTGATGAAGACTTGGTTTCACCTGGAGTCTCTGCGTTTCTACTACATCTTTTGATGGAAAATGACGTTGGGCCCCTTTAAGACCCCAAAAAATCCTTTCATTGCTATACTGTATAAACGCTAATAACAAGCTCACCTTAAAATGAGTAATATATAACCGTACCACAAAATTTAGTAAGAGAGATTTGAAGATTGATATTCTACTGTGCTTTAATACGGATTCATAGCTACCTGTTAAACTTCTGGAACCCTCTTTCCTTAACAGGTAGGATCAACAACAAATTTGTGAGTTATGAAAGCACATAAACCATTAGATATGAGCTCATCACAGGGGAATCCTTGTTTGTTTTAGTGAAGTGACACTCCAGGTCTCCAGAGAGACTCAGCACTGCGGGGTTACTATGGAACCCAACATCATGGAATTCTAAAGGTTAGAAAGCCATGACAGTTTGGATCAAAGAAATCAATAGCTGCTTTGGTTAAGCCATTAAGAGCTCAGGTGGAATAAAACCCACAGGTGACTGTCACTCCTCAAGATCAGAAGAGAGCATCAATATTTCAGTGTACAGAAAAGCCACAAAAAACCGTAGGCCTTGGGCATTTTCTCAGCAGGCATTCTGGGCGTTTTGACAGGGTGATAGTGGAGGCCCGCTGGTGTGTCAGGATGATGGCGTTTGGCGACTGGTAGGAGTGGTCAGCTGGGGCACAGGATGTGCAGAGCCCAACCACCCTGGAGTTTACACCAAGGTGGCCGAGTTTCTGGGCTGGATTTACGACACGATTGAGGTAAAAAAAACACATCAGCCCCCGCGCTGGGTGAATGACGGGATGGAAAGCCAAATGAAATAATCAGCATCAGATTGTTTTCAGAAATAAAGATTCTCATTGCATTTTGTT